ATGCTGCTTTCGGAGTGCGGGTCGTCGCTTTGTTGGATCGAGGTGTAGACTAGACTGCAGTATTGCGTGGAATCGAAAAAAAGTTACCGAGTGGTTTCGAGGCATCTTTCAGGCCACAACCAAAAATACTCATTTCTATTTTTTCTGAGTACGGTGTCGGATTTGTAGTACAAGGGAAAGAAAAATCTGTTAAGTTAGTTCTCCGTTTTGAGAACTTGAATACAAATTTGAAACCATTCTTGAATCTGGATAAGAACTGAAATTAAAGAGAATGAGCGATGCACGGCAAGAGTCGATGTAGACATGCGTCTTTGCAAAAACATCAAGAAACAGTAACAAAACGTGGACGCAAATGCTCCCTCACTTAAATTCGGAGTAAAGTTACGGAATTCTAAAACTGCAGTAATTGGCTAGGAAAACATTCACAGAAACACATACACACACATACATACACACACATACACACACACACACACAATCTTAGGGCCTTATTTGTACTTGTTTTTGCAAAGGCGCATGTCTTCAACGACTTCTGCCGGTGCAACCATCAAAAATTTTTTTTCCATTGGAAAAGGGCTTGTGAAATATCGTGTCGCATTCTCCAGAATTCGCAGCATCCAGTGAGCACGTGCAGAAGCAGCGTCGAGCACCCAGTTCAGTGTTAAAATTCCGGCAATCAGCAAGCGCGGAAGTTGTGCCGAAGCGCCGCAAAGGACCGCTTTTTGAAGCTGGAACTACAAGAGCAGATTCTAAAATCGAGCATTTACGTACAAAACCCGCGACCTCAGACGCAGAGTTTTCATCTTTGGAGCCTCCACCTTCGCCAACTATTGAGATCATGTCGCCGCAGCGAAAGAAATCACGCAAACTTTCTGGATCCCTGGAAGAACTGCATGCCCCCGCTCTTCCCTCAGGTATGCGTCTCGAATCGCAAAAAATTTTTTTGATTTTTATGCGTTTTTGCCGTGCAGCGCTAGAGCGCTGCAACAGGCAGCAAAAACGCATAT